CTTGCAAAGGGCATGAGGATTCTATCTGAGATCACCTCAAACAGTCCTTTTTTGAGGCAGCTAATACTGTATGTGAACCCTCAGCTTTGGGGTACTCACTTATTTGTGGAACATAAGGAATAGCATGGAGGACATTAGGAGAAGGAAGGGAAAAATGAAGGGGGGGTAGTCAGAGGGGGAGACGAACCATGAGAGACTATGGACTCTGGGAAACAAACTGAGGGTTTTAGAGGGGATGGAGATGGGGGGATGGGTTAACCTGGTGATGGGTATTAAGGAGGGCATGTGTTGCAATGAGCACTGGGTGTTATATGCAAACAATGAATCATGGAACACTACATCCCCGTAGATAACAGCAGAATCTAGATGTCATCTGCAAATGCTGGTTCCCTCAGTGCCAGTTAACTATTATGACAAAGATAGTAAACATTTTAATTTCCATCTGTATGACTTAGCCGAGGAAAATAGAATCAGCTACTTATAAATTGCATGTGTATCTACAAAACATGATGGCTAACATATTTAGATTTAATAAAGAGAAGACACAGGGGAAAGAGAAATGTACGTAGGAAGGAAGCCAGTGTGAAGGAATCAGCTCTGTTGAGAACAGCGGAGTCACATTACAAGGCACTTAAGCTAGGTGTTAAAACTTATCCCCACACTTTCTTCTTTAATCCTCACCACAAAAAATAAATCCATCAGCCTGTGTTAAATTTGGAGGCTTAATAATAATTTTAAAAAAAGATGGAGTGGGGGCGCCTGGGTGGCTCAGTCATTAAGCGTCTGCCTTCGGCTCAGGTCATGGTCCCAGGGTCCTGGAATCGAGCCCCGCATCGGGCTCCCTGCTCAGCGGGAAGCCTGCTTCTCCCTCTCCCACTGCCCCTGCTTGTGTTCCCTCTCTCGCTGTGTCTCTCTCTATCAAATAAATAAAATCTTTAAAAAATAAAAAAATAAAAAGGATGCAAACCATGTTTAAAAAAAAAAAAAAAAAAGATGGAGTGACCCTGCTGGTAATTAGGAAATCTTCAGAATTCCAACCCATATTTTCTTCTCTATCAGGCACTTTAAATTATCTTAAAGACAGAATGGTTGAAAGGCCAGATTTATCCATAGAATTCCTTTCATTTCTCCCTCAGTCTAGCTTGAATTTTAGCATGCAAAAACATTACGCCACAGAATCGAAGACATAAACTATGTACACTCAACTTTAAGGGCAATTTAAGGGGAATAATGAAAGTAACTTTGATTAGACAAGAACTCTCACTTATTGCCACACTTTAGAGCTTAACCTGGAAACAAAGGAACATGTGATATAGAATTCTCTTTTAGGGTTAAATGCAAGATTCTGTCTTAGGCAGGTATACGGTTCTTGGAGTATATAAAAATGTATCAATAAAGCTTTAAACTCTTTGAAGGAGGCTCAAGTAGGCAGGAAAGGAGACCTTTCTCATGACAGCAGTACATGATGAAAATTGCCCTATTCCTCTATTTCCATCCTAAACTAGCTAATAGGTAGTTTCACCAATAATTTCTGAAATAACTAAAAGAGGAGGGAATCACAGAAAAGAACAAATATGCTGGTTCAAAAGCATGGAATGGTTTGGCTTTCAATAGACAGCCCAGTTCAAACCTTCACAGAGGTAGCAATCAAATATTTTAAATTTGCTTTCTGAAAAATCTTTATAAAAAAAATATATCATTAGGTAATTTAAATATGTCTTAAACACAATTAATTTCTTTGAACTTTTTAGATAGGAACTGAGGGCAATGAGGAAAAAGAATTTGGGATCTCAACAGAATCCACGAAAAAATGGGTGCGTCTGGAAATCTTGACAGCTGGAGCCTTTCATTTGCATAGCCTGTTTGTTGATTTAATTTTTTCAAGTGGATGAAATGTTTATGAAATTCACTGGGTTGATAACCCTGGAGACTTGAAGCATTCAGCCAGGAAATAATAACTCAAGGCAGGTCAGGTTTCTTGTGGCAGTCAAGGTTTGGGGGCATCTGGTTCTATTTCATTGCTAGAATGCAACCACGGAAGAAATAATGTGCCTTGGGTTTTTATCAAGTTAATTGCCACAGAGGCCCCTGGAGAGGATGGTGGGCATACTTGCAGGGTTCTTAAAGCAAATAATAATTTTTTAAAGGTGTTAGCATTTAGAGGGCAAGAATAACATAGTTTTAAAATTCACCCACTGCTATCACCCTGGTCAAAGTCATCGTCGCCCTTGTCCTCCTCATCATCATCATCACTTCCTGGTTATCTTGCTTCTGTTTTTGTTCCCTTACAAAGTAAACTCAACACAGAAGCTCAAGTGATCCTTTTTGGACAAAAGTCATATCATATCATCTGTTTCTTCAAATTCCTCCAAATGGTTTTCTAATTTGCTCAGAGTAAAAGTTGGAGTTCTTACAACGGAGTAGGAGGCCCTTCCCTGACTCCCCGCCCCCTCCAGGATATGTCCCACTCCATCCCCTACCACTCTCTGTTCCCCACTCTGCTGTTCTGGGACCATGTCAAGCATGCCCTTTACCCCCAGGGACTCTGCACTTCTGCCTAGAACAGTCTTCCGTCAGATATCAACATGGGTAGCTCTTAAGGTCTCTGTTCAAATGTGAGATTCTATGCTATAAAAAGAGCCTCATCTGCCACCTCAGTGCATCTTACTGGTCCCATTTGTAGCACGGGCAGCACTTCCTACCATCTGGCATGTTATATATTCACTTGCCTCTTTCTCTCCTACACTGGAAACTCTACAAGGACAGAGACTGGGTGTTGTTTAATGCAACCTCTCCAGCTGCCGAACACATGCTTAGCACACTCACAGTATATGTTAAATGAAAGAATGACAAGTTAGCATTAGTGAGGAGGAAGCTAGCTGATTGCACCTGTGTGCCAGGCACTGTTCTAACCACTTTACGCGCATTCGCTCATGCCAACCCGATAATGGCCCCAAGAGGTTAGGTATTTGGCCAAGACCATACGAAAAACAAATAAATTTACAAATTAGACAGGGTTTGGGGGTCCTTAACTTACTCCTTTTCATTTACAGGTGGGAAAACCATGTCTAGGTGAGTTGTTAATGGGAAGACTGGGGGCTGGGGCCTCCTCTCTGGGTGTACTGCCCAGGCGCCTGCCAGCTGCAGGACTGCCAAATGCCCAGTTCTCGCCAGTGATAACATGCTACCCTTTCTTTACATGACCAGAAACCCACAGATCTTAGCAGAGCAACTGGCACACAGTAAGCACTCAACCATAATTTTTGGAAAAAGAAAAAAAGGAATGAGAGATGACAGAATTTGGGGGAAGCTAAGAAAGTCTCTTCTCAGATTATGAGCAGGTGTGGCAATGCAACCAACCCACTTGCAAAGGGCATGAGGATTCTATCTGAGATCACCTCAAACAGTCCTTTTTTGAGGCAGCTAATACTGTATGTGAACCCTCAGCTTTGGGGTACCTTCCCCAGGTGCAGCAGATGGTTAGGCAGAGATTCTACGGAGCAACCTTAAGAGCAACCTGTACTAAGAGCCAAGTGGCATGAAGTTTTATACATGCAAATATCCCACCATCCATCCACCTTTTCCACTCAAAGTCCATCTCTAGAACAAAGATTGATGCACATTTTAGCCTAATTTCACTGGATTCAAAATGTGTGTGTGTGTGTGTGAGTGGGTGTGTAGTGGATATATTGGTGGGTGTGGCAGAGGGTGGTGAATGGGATCAACAGATGTGCTGGTGACTATGTGGGGAGACTGGCGATGAAGCAGGGCTCCATGCAGTGTGACCAGTTCATCCCAGTCCTTATGGGATGGTGTCATACCCTCGCCTTGCCTGACTACATATATATGCCCATCAACAAAACACTCTCCTCTGTTCTACAAAATCTCCATCTCAATTTCTCATCAGAATGACATTGAGAAGTGCTTATACTGGATGGTATTAAGTGAATGTCATAACAGGCCCCCAACTCAGAGACCCAGCCCCTTTCCACTCTTCTTAGCATTCAGCCTCCAGGTACACCCAAACACCATTGTTGTGGTCATGCACTGAGGCCTCACGTTGCAGCAGCACCTTCTACAGGGGAGCTGCTACTGCTGGGTGTGGCTGTCAGTCCCAGAGGCTCCTAGAGAAGAGCTGGTGATTACCAACTCCTAGCAGGACACCAGCTGAGATAGAGTGGTGGGTGAGTTTGTTGGCTCGGTCACGCCCATGGAGAGTTTGGGGATCCTCACTCTGAGCTGTTGCATTTCCCTTCAATTAGGGATGTGGAGAGGAAGCCTTACTGGTGACAGGATCAGTCTTCCTCCCCACTCTGAGATCTCAGCCAGTACAAGAACCAGAGCCTCATACCTCCTCCGAGACCCTGATTTCAAGCGTAGGCAGAAAAAGCAGAGTTGCAATTATGCATGTGCTCATCTTGCTCTCACAAGTTTGTGTTTAAATAGCTCACAACTTTTTAATTGTGGTATTTGGTTGATTTTGTGGTAGGCTGTAGACTCGTGTATTGTTGGCTACAGCAAATCTTTAAAGCCAAAATGTGTTCTTCAAATTTCCTCAATTTTTTAAATTTAACTACTAGGTACTAATACTTTTAAAGATTGTTAAAATGTATAATCATCATTTATTATGTACACTGTGGTAAAGGCTTTAAGAAAATTATCTTTCTTTTGCCCTCATTTTACAGTTGGGAAACTGAGGCCCAGACGGGGTAAGTAATGTGTCTGACGTCACCAGTGGGTGAAGTTGGGATTGGAATTTGAGTCAGTCTTTCTGCAGCCTGTGCCCTTCCCCATGTACTGCTTTCATTATTAGTTATTATTGTGTTACTATGCTTTCATTTTAAGAGCAGCCTAGTTCTAGGAACACTTAGGTACTTTTTGTAACAGAGGAAGCCACCCAAGGCACCTCACTTACAGCTAAGTGGAGGGGACTCTTGGTAGCACCGGAGTCTGAGTCTTCAAAACCATTGTTGGTTCTTTCTAAAAGCTGTGAAGACAAAAAGAAAACATTTGTACGTGAGTAAAATTTGCAGAAGGAATCCTCCTCTAAGGATACTAATGTTGACATCAATGCAAAAGAGGCTTCGGAAATGTAAAAAATAACGCAACTTAGCAATATAAGAAATCTGGTGCAGCATATCTGAAACAAATAAGAAATCGAACACAGCATATCTAAAACAGGTACTCTAAATGAATCTTTCAACTTCTGGATCATCTCAGCATTTGCTAATAAAAAAAGGCTTTCATACTTGAAAGATGCTCAGCCTCACCAATCCAGGAAAATAATTCATGTTTAGTCCACTTTTCACCCAGCAGATTGTAATAATGAAAAATTATAATACCTAGTGTTTATTCCATCATCAAACACACATTTACTGGAGGTAGTGTTGGAAGAGACATATAAATCTCCTGTTCTCATGGAGCTTACATTCTAGGGAGGGAAATCAGAGACAAACAAATAAATACAGAAATAAGAAAATATCTGCTGATGACATATGCTATAATGAAAATAAAATAAGGTGATGTGATAGGGGATGACTGGGAAGTTACTTAACAGCTGATGATTAGGGAAGTCCTCTTCAAGGAAGTGACAATTAAAGTAAGACCTAAATAATAAGAATTACACCAAGTAAAAGTGTGTCAGGAGAGTATTCTGGAGGAGGAAGTTGTGGAGAAGGGAGTACAAATGCATCAAGGGGGGATAAATATGGTGAGCTGAAGGAACAGAAAGGATAGTGTGACCAGGGTATGATGCTGGTGAAGGTATCAGGAAAAAGACATTCTCATGGACTCTTGGTGGGAACAAATTGTTAAAACCTTTCTGGGCAATTTGTGCATACCTCTGACCCTAGGAATTAATTCCCAATAAATAATGAGACAAGTGCACAATGATGAATGTATAAAGAAAATTCTTCAATGAATACCTGATGAATGATTATCCATGTGCCTAGACACTGAAGATTCAATAATAAATAATATATTAAAATACCAATTTTCTTGGGGGCGATAGGGTAGGCAAGAAAGAAGTTATGTAGTTAATTAGAAAACAGGGGAGGAAGGTTCAGAGGGCCGGAAGGGAGATCAGTTTGGAACTTAAATAGGTGATCAGGGAAGGTCTTACTGGCTGAGAAAATTCTGGAGGGTGATGAGAGAACCTTGTGGACATCTGCGGAAGGAGCATTCCAAGCAGAGGGGCCAGCAACTGCCAAGTCCCTCCGGAACAGGTGTGCTTAAGAACATCCAGGATGCTGGGGCAGAGTGAGCAAGGACGAGAATAACAGGAAAGGAAAGAGAGATGGTGGCAGTGGGGGTGGGAGTGTCATCAAGAGCCTTCTGGGTTGTCGGAAGCATTTTGACTTTTCATCCTGAGATGGAATGTCACTGGTGTGTTTTGAGCAGAGGGATGACATGTTCTAACTTTTAGACTCTAGGGAGGGCACAGAGAGAAACTGGGGCAATAGTCCAAGAGAGAAATAACAGTGGCTTAAAGCCGTGGAGAGCAGTAGGGATGGAGAGAAGCAGTTGGATTGTAGATATTTTTTGGAGGTAGAATCAACAGGATTTCTTGATGGATTGGTTGAACATGAATGTAAGAGAAAGAGAGAAGTCAAGGATGACTCCCAGGATTTTGTCCTATGCAAATGAAAGGATGGCAGTTCCATGAACTGAGATGGAAAAGACCAAAAGCGGAATATACATAGTGGGAAAGAATGAAAGTTTGGTTTTGGAAATGGTAAGTTTGAGATGTTTTTAAAGCATCCAAAAGTGCATGCTAACCAAGCAGCTGTTGGGCACATGGGTGCGGAGTTCAGGTATTTAAAGCCATAAGATTGGATGAGATGAGCAAGAGAGTAAAGTAAACAGAGATGAGAGATGAAGAGAGAGTTGGAGAGTCAGCAGGGAGATAGATTGAGCAGATGAACTAGAAGGAACACCAGGAAGTGTGAGGTCTGGAAACCAAGTAAAGAAAAAGTTTCAATGAGATAATGAGTAACGATGTCAGAAGTCCTGATAGGTCAAGTAAAATGAGCCCTTAGAATTGACCACTGGGCTTGGCAACACAAGGCTATTAGTGACTCTGTGAACAGCAGTTTATCAAAACACTGTTTATATGAAAAAAATAGAAAAAGAGACAGCAACAGAGATGGGTTAAATAAATTAGAAGTGGGACAGGGACTTCTGGGGAAAATGGTGGAGTAGGAAGTTCTGAGGCTCACCTCATCCCAATACAACTAGTTAACACCCACATCAGTGTAAATAACGCAGAAAATGATCCAAAGATTGGCAGAACAGACTCTCCACAGCTATGAATTGAGAAGAGGCCACATCAAATTGTGTAGGAAGGGCAGAAATGTGGTTGGGAGCTAAACGGACCTGTGGGACTGCTTGAGGGACGGAGGAACAATAGGGGTACAGAGAAGGGAGAGAAACAGAAAATTACACCAAGCACCCGGGCACAGGAACCCGCACAGGGAAGATGAATCCCCATAACATTTGGCTTTGAACCCCAGAGGGGCCTAATTTCTTGAGTTCTTACAATCAGTGGGGCTTAACACCTGGAACTTTAAAAATCAGTGAGCTCAGCTCTGGGAGAGCCAGGAGGGTACAGGAAACGGAGTCCTGCCTTTAAAGAGACAGCACAACAAATAGCCCAGCAGAGATGCAGCACAGAAGCAGCAGTTTGAAAAATGCCTGGGATACAAGGGAAGATTTATTTACTAATCTCAGAGCATGTGCTGGAGGGGCAGGGATTTTTAGAAGACCATTCCAAGAAAAAAAGAGTTGGCAGGTATCATTTCCCTCCCTTGTCCCTTAGCCTAGACACACTGACCAACTCTGTGCCAACATTTTCCACCTAACTTGCCCCTGTCCTAGTGCTCTTCTCTAGACCTGCCCCCTTCAATATGTCCTTACCCGGAGCCCACCCAAAGAGGTGCTACAAGCCTGGCAGTGCACAAGCAGCCCTGACAGGAGCCAGTACTACATCAACGTGACTCCTTCCTGGGGAGAGGGGAGGATAACTACACATATCAGTCTGACTGCGGCTCCAGCATGGGCTGGGAGCAGACATCAGGTCTGACTGCAGGCCCTGCTCACCAACAAAAGCTTCTCAGGAGACAACACAGGGAAAGTGCCCTGCAGTTTGGTGCTACTGTATCTCTGGCAAATGCTTGGTCTGACTCAACTCAAACCCAAGGCAGCCCCAGCTGGCCCACTAACAACACAGGGACCAAACTATGCCCACAACAGGCAAAGAGAGATGACTGGACTGGAGGCAAAAGCAGCCCAACCACAACAGTGGGGTGCACACAACACACATAGGAGATACCCCAAAGCGCCAGGTTCTGGTAAAGAGGGGACTTTGCACTACAGGGCACTACTGGACCTCTTCTTCATAAGGCCACTATTTTCAAGAGCAGGAGATGTAGCGGACTTTCCTAACACATAGAAACACACACAGGGAGTTAGACAAAAATGAGGAGACGGAGGAATATGTCTCAAATGAAAGAACAGGACAAAATCACAGCAAGAGGGCTAAAACAAATGGAGATAAGTAATATACTTGATAGAGAAATTAAAGTAATGGTCATAAAGACACTTACTAGACTTGAGAAAAGAGTGGAGAACCTCAGTGAGACCCTCAACAAAGAGAAAACATAAAAAAGAACCAATCAGAGATGAATTCAATAAATGAAATTAAACATTTCCTAGATGAAATAAATAGTAGACTACAGGAAGCAGAAGAATGGTCAGTAACTTGGAGGACAGAGTAATGGAAAGCAATCAAACCGAACAATCAAAGAGAGAAAAAGTAATAATAAAAAATGAAAAAAAGACTTAGGGAATTCAGTGACACCATCAAGCATGATAGCATTCACATTATAGGGATCCCAGAAGAAGAGATAGGAAAGGAGGCAGAAAATTTATTTGAAGATATAATATCTGAAAACTTTCTGAATCTGGGGAAGGAAACAGAAATCCAGATCCAGGAGTCACAAAGATGCCCCAACAAAAATCTACCCAAGGAGGTCCACAGCAAGATATATAGTAATTAAAATGGTGAAAAGAAGTGATAAAGAGAATTTTAAAAGCAACCAGAGGAAAAAAAGCTGTTACATAAAAGGGAAGCCCCATTAGGCTATCAGTGGAGTTTTCAGTAGACACTTTGCAGGCCAGAAGGGAGTGGCATGATATATTCAAGGTGCTGAAAGAAAAAAACCCAGCAACCAAAAACACTCTATCCAGCAAGGCCATCATTCAGAATATAAGGAGAGATAAAAAGTTTCCCAGACAAACAAAAGTTAAAGGAATTAATCACCACTAAACTAGCCCTACAAGAAATATTAAAGGGGACTTTTTTCTTTTTCCTTTTTTTTTTTTTTTTAAGAGAGGAAGCAAGAGAGAGCACGCATGTGTGTGCACAAGCAGCATGGAGGGGCAAAGGGAGAGGGAGAGAGAATCCCAAGCAGGCTCGACACTCAGCACTGAGCCTGACTCGGGGCTCAATCCCACCACCCTGAGGTCACAACCTGAGCCTAAATCAAGAGTCAGATGCTTAACCAACCGAGCCACCCAGGCACCCCTAAAGGGACTTTTTGAATGGAAAGGAAAGACCATAAGTAGAAGAAAAGTAGGAAGTACAAAAGCAGTAAAATTAGCTATATTATAAAAACGAGTCAAGGGATTCACAAAATAAAAGGATGTCAGGTATGATACCATATATCTAAAACATGGGAGTGGGAAGAGGAGTAAAGAATGGGTTCAAACTTAAGCAATCAGCCACTTAATATACACTGATACTGGTAACCATAAATTAAAAACTAGCAATAGATATGCAAAAAATAAAGAGAAAGGAATCCAAGTATATCACTACAGAAATCCAGCAAACCATGAAAGAAAAAAGCAAGAGAAGAAAGGCAGAGAAGAACTACAAAAACAACCATAAAACAAGCAACAAAAGAGCAATAAGTACATACCTATCAATAA